CTCCAGCTGATGTGGTTGTACCCTCATATCCACCAAACCCTTGACATGTACGAGCCTTTGTTACCGTTCTTTTGCGACATGCATCTCGACTGGCATTGATAACATCACTCCTGTCCAATGTCCGATTAGCAGCAATACCCAGTAATCTGCACCCCCGTTACCTCGACCACCCACATACACAGACACAAAGATCAAATTCATAACTGCTATTGGCGATTTAAACCGTAGCGAAAGACAGCTCTATTGCAGTCAACCATTATAGTGGAGACGACACCTGATTGCTTGATTTATTGCATGAAGGAGAATCAACACACAAAGTGAGATACTCTAATTTCCCCTGGCAACAGCTGGCGAACTTTATATTTCTAAACATCATTTCCCTGGCAACCATGTACCTGCGATGTAGTTCACTCACGATATATTCATGCCTTAACTGCAGTTAATTACTATTCATTGTATCTTATCCGCTTTCTGTTTTACGCATAAGAGCGTATGTTGATTTTCATTCCTTATACTAACTTGATCTGTTGATACGGCCCTCATTTTGAACCCAACAGCTATGATATATTAATACATTAATTTGTTTGATATCTTCTGATGAGACAGAAATGGGCTTTCAATTGAAAAATTTATACAGTTATATAAAAATATAAATCGCTTCTGTGTTACCGGGACTCTCACGGGAAACTAAGAATAGTTACACTGCACCCTACCAGTCATGTCGTAAGGGGCGACTAAGAGTAGAGTTGGGTTTGGTGTTGGCTTTCTCATAACAATAGCCACAAAAACCAACCAACCATGGACAAGTCTAAAATAGAAACTAAAAATACATAGGGTATTGGGTATCCAAATGCGTGCTCAGTCCTCCGATGCAGCAGCCGATCCTAGTTACCTCTACAATGAGCTGATTGTGATATCTCCTATCTCGACCTCCAAGGGCGCATAGACGCGCTTCACCATCCTTTACTCCCATGTCACACAATCGTGTTAGTGGCAGAGATTCGTCATTATTCTCTAACCTAATCCATACACTATGGCATACAATGAGAGGCATGGGATTTCCAAATCATCTGCTGCACTTAATGGAATCTCTCTACCATGAACAACAAGCAGCAGTCAGAGTAGCTGGTGAAACATCAGAATGGCTGAAGTGCAGAAAGGAGTGAGACAGGGCTGCATTCTTTCACCCTCCCTTTTTTAACATATATGATGGAAATGTTATGAGAAACGCAATTAGCGATGAGGCATGTGATAGCTTTGATCCACTAACAATTGGAGGTAATCCTATCCTAGAACTCAGATATGCAGACGACACAGTTCTCCTTTCCAACAGTGTACAAGGTTAAGAAAAATTAATTTTGGCCGCCAAAAAACACAGCGAAGAAGTGAATCTGTTTCTGAATTTAAAAGAAAAAAAGTATGTCCTCAGTAAAAACAGCACACCAACCACGTATCGCAATCGAAAATAAAGAAATAGAAAATGTAACAGATTTCGAATACTTGGACTCTTTAGTGAACGACAGTGGTGACTGCTGAAAAGAAGTCAAAAGAAGACTTGCATTAGCAATGGAGAGATTAAATAACATAAAGAACCTATGGCAAAGCACTAAAAAAATTGTGGTTACAGTAAAAATCTTGAGATCATGCATTTTTCATGTGGCGAGAAATACATACACTGAACAATCAACTTTAAAGAGCTATTTTTACAGTTTGAAAAAACATTGAAAGATATAAAACCGCGATTTGTCAGTTCAATAAAAGCATCTCAGTTTCAGAACACATATTTTGCATACAATCAACAACAGAATACGAGCCTAATCTACAATATCACCACGAATGATAATTGCAATATGTGCATTATTAAACATTGTCGAAGTTTCACAACCACAGCTCATTTTCTGCCTACTGCCAGTTTGCCATTTTCGCACATGTAAATAAACTAAATTATGAAATATTAGCCACAGTTTAGTCGGACAGTCTGGTAATTTGTATTCATCACCATTCAAGAATAATGAAAGATAGATTATCTGTACACACCTTACCTCGCCCGAGCTGGTGGGACATGGTGGTGTTGGGGCGATAGCATCATGGCTGATGGCTTTTACACTTCCGCACAAAATCGAGAACAAGGGGAAGGCATTCAATTTCAAGGTCATTATAATAACAGTTAAAGAGATATAGTTTTGATGGGAAAATATGGCGCTGTCATTTTTTTAACAAGACCATCTGTATTTTTGTTTAATACAGGTATTATTTTGCTGCCTGCATTATTTCTGTTTAATATTTGCAAGATCTTCATAGAGACATTATTGTTGAAAATATATTACATTTTGATGGGTTGTATCGGCTGGTTCCATCAATAGTGTCGCCTTGATATGTCGCCTAATGATACGGGCTAGAGGTAAAACGATAATATGCTGTAGTTTATTCATACAAATCATGATGAAGCTGATATTTTCCCCTGAACAAAAAAGTGGAATGAATTGTTACCTGACCATGAACTATACCAGGCTCCTGTGTGAAGTTTTGAGAAATGGAGGTTTGGGTGCGAGCCTGCAACATGGCTGCCGTATATGCGGGTAGCATATATTGAGATATTATCAGATGTACTGGGAAGTTATAGCCGTTATCATACATGTGATACAAACATGTAAACAGCAGGGTGCCTGTTCTTACAGTGTCGATCGGAGTGCGTTCCTCCTTCCTCCTGTTTTAATTAAGGCAATGTTTTGTGTCAGCACCTGTATGATAACGGCAGATTAATACCAATACCGGTCAATTAAAATTATCCACACTCCTAGACGACGGCTCTGTAACGAAATTAATACATATTTTATGTTCTTTTGCGGCTGATAAAATGAATTAAAAAAAAAAAAAATAATTCTCTTCATAAGGTTTTAATATCGCCTCGATTCGCCTGAAGGAATATGATTCTGTGATGAGGCTGGCAAACTCTAGACAGAGAAAGAGAATCATCACATAAATAACTGTCCTACTAGTATATGGTGGAGAAGGAGCTAGAGAGTAACGTTAAACAGACGGGCAGGACATTGGAAGAGCTGCTAGCGATAGCGAGGGATAGAACGATTTGGCGGGAGTTGGTTGAAGGCCTATGCTCCACTAGGGGTTAGAAAGGCAGAAGAAGAAGTAGTAGTATAGAGTGTTTCACACGTTCCTCTACAGTGATTAAATATCTGTAACTGCACAACTCTCATAACGCGGGATTCGCAATCTTATTTAAAAACTTTGCCTATCTCCACAATCAACGATTGTAAATGTTCACGTGCCGCGTCATGAGTTATATGTTAGTTAATTGCGTATCCTTCACAGGCCATTGCAGAACCAAGACCGGCTCTAGGTAACGGGCCATGCTGCTGACGTCACCAAACCGGGCTAACGATAAATCTGAGAGGCGCGACACCCAGGGGTGCCGCGAGCGTATGTCAGGGGTGCCGCGGCAATAATGAAGAATTTTTCTAAATCTGCATGACATGGAATTTGCACCGGTTTTTTTTCCCTCTCTTCTTAAATATTCGCTTTAAGGGTAGTGTGCCACGAAATGTTTTTTTTTTGCCCGACGAAAAAAATGTTTTAGAAACACAGCGTTAACGTATCGTTAGCCCGGTTTGGTGACGTCAGCAGCATGTTTCGTCAACTAGAGCCGGTTTTGGCAGAACCAACCCCAGCATTTTATGGCTGTTGTGGTTTTTTTTAAAACCCAGCAAATTTACGCCCAGTAGTTTGTCATTGCTTTCTGGACGGTCGTCTTCTTAATACCACTGTCGAAACCGCTGTCTGGGGCAAAATATAATCCTCACATGCACAGTCGTGGCGAAAGCACTAGCCATGCGGCTTAAATCCTCGGGCTCAAAGATTCCCCTGTCTACACCGCAGAAGTGGTTTATAAAGGCAGTAATTGTCAATAGAGCACTATGTTTTATATTATATAGACACTCTTATGACCCATTTAACACTCATACGCACAAAAGCCGCAAGACAGCAACAAATTAGTTATTTGATTTCTAACAATATATATACGTTATGTTGTGTTCATCGCTAATTGCTTTGAAGATCCTTGAGTCAGTAACTAATAAAAAGTATAGAGCACTATGTTGGACACATGATACGCAGCTGTACAAGACCAGTTCTAGGTCAAATAATAAATTTTAGTAACATTTTCTGTTCAACATACAAACGTTACTAAAAATTGATTGATTTAATGTCAGTGTCAGGATTTTGTTGTCACGTGTATTCAGTCAATGTGGAGGGACTTATGGAGCACACTATATTTCAGGCAAAAGGAATTTAACGACCTCAGGCCCTTGGGCATATAGGGTTAGACCTATAAGATTTTTTAGACCAATCGACACTTGGTCATCATCACACCGACCGCCTTTACTTCCCAGGACTGCACCGGGTACCCACTCAAGGCTGGGTCGACCTGGTACAGTCCTAGGAAGTAAAGGCAGCCACATCCCCCACCAAGTGCGATTGGTCTTCAAAATACAGGTCTAGCCCTATATGCCCCATACGCCCGAAGGCATGGAAAAGGGTCCTTGCTCATACACTTTCTAGACAGAGAGACATATCTCACTGCATTTGACTTTCATTCACCAATGAGTCTCTATAGGTTTCATCCCCTTCGCTGATTAAAAAAAAACATAACAAAATGCTGCTCCTCTTTTGTGCATGTCAAAAGTGGGCCGGCCATTTTATACTGTCATTCGTCAGCTGGTTAATCTGCACTGTGCTATCACGTGCTTAACACTCCCGACATCCTTAAAAACGATACTGACAGTTTACAAGACTGACATGGTTAATGTAATTTATATCACACTTTCAATGTTTTTACTGGAAGCCCCTCCCCCTTTTTGCGTACAAAAAAAGCTGTTCACCACTATTGATATTGTATATTCATTGTTAGTATTTGCGTGTTTATTAAGTGCACTTTCTATTGTTAACTATTGCTACAACTGTTCTTGTCTTGTTCTTCCTGACAGCCGTACCTCCAGCGCCCAGACTGCCTCCTCACAAGATGACCCTCAGAAAACACAAACCTAACCGCAAGCCCAGAACGCCATTCACTACGTCACAGCTACTGGCTTTGGAACGTAAATTTCGAGAGAAGCAGTACCTGAGCATCGCCGAGAGAGCAGAATTCTCCGCATCTCTCACACTCACGGAGACACAAGTCAAGATCTGGTTCCAGAACAGACGAGCTAAAGCTAAACGCCTTCAAGAGGCTGAGCTAGAGAAACTGCGCATGGCTGCCAAACCCATGATGCCTCCATTACTAGGAATGGGGTTTCCAATCAATCTCTATGGACAGTTCCCCAGGGGGCCTATGATGCATCAAGGAGTCATGTCTCCGTTTTCTTTGCACAGTGCTGGGGGTCTTCCATCGGGAGTGTCCTATCTTCATTGATGACTGAAAAGGAGCTAACCAATAAGCCTACATACGAGGATTTATGTAGATATGCTTTGCGATAAACGCCATTCTTCGAGTGCTTCCATGACACATTTCCTCCACTCAGCGAATCAAAAATTAAACATGGATTTGTTGTGGGTTTGCAGATTCACTGGCTCTTCAGAGACAAGATTCTCTGTAATCGGTTAAAAGAAAAGGAGATAGAAGCTACGGTGGCTAATGAAATAACAAACTACAATTAATGTACTTTCCTTCCTTGATTGGTGACTGTAAGCCCGTCATGGAAATGGATGAAACTGTCATCCAGTCAACACGCGGAAACAAACTTTGCTACTAAGATTGTTTATTACACAATGGGGAAAACTCTAGTGTTAATAATTTATTAATGAAAATAGGCTCGACGTTGCAGTTGATACAACCAAGAGTGATACCCAATATTTTGATATCAAATAGTCCTAACAGACCCAGTGAAATAACAGTCTAGAAAATCAGGACCGCTTCCTAGCTTCAGTGGCAACTGTAAATTTGTCACGGCAGTGGATACGACTAACAATTCGTTCCAGTTAGTTATCTTACGAAAGCATGCTATCGTTAACAGCTTTTTTCACACAAAATGAAATGTAAATTTAACGGTAATTACAGCATCCTACACTTCAGTGGTAACTAAACTTGTCACTTACGTAGATGAACTAACAAAACACGTGAGATGAATTGAAACAGGAAAACAGAGGCAAATACAAGAAAAGAGTCACTAATGAAGAACTAAAGAAAAATAGCAGGCACAGTATCGGTAAATAGTTTTATAGAAACGTCAAAAAATCAGATGGTTTGGTTATCTGGTCAGGATGGAACCAAATCAGCCAGAAACTAAGGCGTACTACATGAGTACAACAAGCAACAAGGCGAGAGGCCGACCGAGATAGAGTCTGGTGGAGGGGGTAACAGATACACTACAGAAACGCAGTTGGACGGTAATACGAGCTATGCAACTAATAAAAGACAGGAAATTATATAACTCTTCTCTGCGACATTTTACGGCATAAGCAGTTCAAAAAAAAAAAAAAAAAAAAAAGTGACTAAAATAAAGACTGTCAGAACTATTCAGCAAGTTGAGTTATAGAAACATAATGATATCATCATTACAATAAAGTATACAGATATTCGAGTGTCATATCTTCACTGACGTTAGCACCCTCACCATGGCGATGGATACAGATAACAGTTAGCAGACCAAATTAGATCTTAGTTTCAAAAGTCTACGAAACCAAGCACAATAACAAACCAAACTTTCCAAACTGCGTCGCCACACAATGTTGTCAAGGTGTGTCGCGCGGAGATGTGTTAATATTTCTTATTAGAGGTTAGTTTAAACTATGGTTTGCTAGCAGACTGAATTATTGCAGTCGTGACATTAGATTTATCAAAATAGTGTGTCATCAACATGGACAGTTTGGAAAGCTCCGCAGTTTTTCCTACATTAATTGGTGATTGTAAGCGTGTAACGGCAAGGGACGCAACTATGAGAGAAATCCAGTAAATTTACAGATGAAAACATTCTGACGTCAAGAATGTTTCGTAACACATAAATAATAAACTTGACATTTACTCTTGATGGGATCTGCCGTGGTCTAGATGCTAGACGCTCGCCGGCCGATCGGAAGGTCGTGGGCTCGGTTCCTGACGGTGACCGGAAAAAAAATGGCCTTGGCTCCCAGGTCGACCCAGCCTTGAGTGGGTGCAGTCCTCGAAAAAGTAAAGACGGCCGCCGTGAAGCTGACCACATCACCCACCAAATGTCGTTTGGTATATATAGTATAAGTCTAGCCCTATATACCCAATACACATGAAAGGCGTGGAAAATGGTCCTTAACATATTACTTTTACCTATCTTGATGGATGAACGTACATTTGGCATGACTATGCATTTAATAGAATTAACATAAGGTAACACGTTTTGACGTCAAAGACTTTTTTTCACACAGTTATATCATCATCATCATCATCATCATCCTGTAGCAGGTCCTTTGCAGAACGTCGCTCTCATCACAGTCTGTCTGAAAGAAACTCGGTCTCTCGCCAGTTCTCATGCACTTTCACACTCAAGGAGTCACTTATATCCTGTGCCCATCTTCGTGTCAGTCGGCCTCTGCCCCTCCTTCCTGGTACCATGCCTTCTGCTATAATTTTTTTCCAAACCGTCGTGGCGCTTGATATGACCAAAATATTTCTGCTTTCGAGAAAAAATGCTGTTTATTAGCCAGTCTTCCTTGATGTTCAGATCTTTTAAGATGTCAATATTTCTCATCTTCTTTGTCGAAGATATTCTGAGAATCTTTCTATAGCATTTCAGCTCAAACGCCCCTGTTCTCTTTCTTAAGGACTGAGAGATAGTCTACGACTCATATCTGTATGTAGCCACAGGAAAGATGCATGCTCTCAAAATTCTAATTTTGATCTCCTTGCTGGTGCTTAACCAAAGACTTTAAAGGCTGTTCAATCTTTGCATTACTATGGCCATCCTCCTTTTAATTTCTGTCATAGTCTCCATTGTTATTTATTTTAGAGCCTAGATATTCAAAGTTTGTGACATTTTCAATTTCTTCATCATTTATTGTTGTTTTTTTGGGTGACAGCCAATTTTATCTGTGGACATTATTTTCGTTTTCTTTAAAATCAAGAACAGATTCTGATCTTATATAGGAAACTAAATAGTTATGGAAGTGTCTTAGAAAAAAAAAAAAGACTGTCCCAATATGGGACGCAATTTGTCGTTAAATAGATTTAAGCGTCACAAGTGTTTCGTCACACATAAAAAAAAAAAAAAAAACTAGACAATATCAGCAAGACACAAGATGCAGAGATCACAAAAACATGATGTTTGAAACAGTTGCAGAAAAATCAAGATTTGCTTTTCATATTGTAGTAGTATATTTGCTTCTCCATTTGTAGCCAGCGCTGAACAAGTTCTCAGTGTTGTATTCGTGGTTCTTTCCGTGGGGCTTGGCTGGCCCGATTAATGATTGCACCGCCGTGGTGTAGATGCTAGACGCTCGCTTGCGGATCGGAAAGTCGTGGTTTTCAATGACTAAGAGAAAAAAAAAAAAAAAATGAGAGGAAGAGAGAAAAGACCGCTTATGTGTTATTGAGGTCCATACAGCAAACACGGCAAACAAAGTAAACACTATACATTAGTAGGCATGTAGTAAGCAGTGATCAAGGAGAGTTAGCCTGTTGCAGCCTTACTGTAAACCAGAACATATTGTGTCATTTTGATGGCTAGTTATATGGCAGGTGCCTTGACTTCTCAAGATATCCCTGGAAATGTTATAATAAATAGATCTGCCGAGTGGGTAGACAGACATATGGACAGATAAAACAAATAGATGGAACAGACAGTCAGTGATGTTGAATAAACATGCACATGGACAGACAGACAGACAGACAGACAGACAGACAGACAGACAGACAGACAGACAGACAGACAGACAGACAGACAGACAGACAGACAGACAGACAGACAGACAGACAGACAGACAGACAGACAGACAGACAGACAGATGAAACAAATAGATGGAACAGACAGTCAGTGATGTTGAATAAACATGCACATTGATATTCAGATAGACAGTCAGAAAGAGACAGGAGGGATATTTGTGTGTGTGTGTGTGTGTGTGGTGTGTGTGTGTGTAGGCTTTAGACTGCTGGTATTGTTTGGCACCTTTCCGTCTTTCCAGACGATAGTGTCACATTGCGCCATGAGGAGTCATGGAACACAGCTCACGGCGATGGCGAGTATGACTAGCAAGATCCGCCCGCGTCAAGAAAAGTCTTCCGCTGCTATAGCATGGGATTTCAGGACTGTTGTTGTCAACATTTGTATTTAGCCTGTTTCTTCTCAGACGCCACTCAGCTCTCGTCCTTTCTGCAATAATTTCTTCCTTCATTCTCATTCCCCTTCTGATGAGCCTCCTCCAGACAACACGGTCCATGGCATTTTGTCCCCCCCCCCCCCCCACGAGTCCACCTCAATATCTGCATCATTCATCTCCCGCTTGCACACATGGCTATATCGTAGTAGAGGTCTGCCTCGACATCTTCTACTCGACTGATGGTATATACTGACAATATTTGACATAGTCAGACGTCAACAGTATGGCAGATTCTGTTCTGGCAAAAGTCCACTTTGCTGACAAAGCAATGGAAATGGGGAAACAATATGGGGAAAAAAATCGAGGAGAAAAATAGAAGGGGAGAGAATGGGAGAGGGGGGGGGGGGGTATAAGATTTCAAGTTTCTTTGACGTCCTTAAACCTACTATCTATTTATTACCACATTTCGTCCAAGAGGATGGATTGCGTCATCCCCATGTGGCTTCCGGGGCCTCACTGGAAAAAAATTGAACAGACCTCCTACTTCCCCTACCAAGGATGTCGTACAAGGCGACTAATGAGGGTGTTTCCTTCCAATTCGGAGTGCATCTGCCTGAGAGGCGAGAAACGTACTGTCTGCATACAAATAAACCAGTTCTGTAAAGCGGATGTGGGCGCAAAACTCAAATTCAGGAACAAGGCCAAAGTCCAGTAATGGACGAACAACCACTGTTTATCCCTGGAGGTCACAGACGGTTAACACTATGAAGAAGACGAATTATGTGCAAAAATAAAAAAAAAGTGCAAATTGATGTCATCTATAACTATTGCTGTGATAAATTAATGATGTATATTTTTGTAACGTATTATGTAGTATATTGCTTTGCTATGGAAACTGAAGGATTGAAATACAGAAATCATTTGTAATGTTCATGACTTTGTCATTCAGAAAACTAGTGTGATCTGTTTGTGCTGGGGCGAGTGTAGTGTCTGTTTGAAGGGGAATATATCTCAGTTAAAATAAGTGACAACTTATGTGTTGGGGAGCGGCCATGGTGTAGCGGCTCGGAAAGAAGTCGTGGGTTAAGATCCTAACGGAGCCAGACTATTTTCAAAAATCACCTTGAT